TATGCTGCTTGGTTCCATTTGGGTTCAGGAAGTTCTGGTTTTGTTATTGGCAGCAGAATTATTGCTGATTAAACTGAATTTTCTGTGTTTTTACACTAACTTATAATAACTTATCAGTTTAATCTATTTTATTTTTTACCTAATTTTTTTCCTTGTATTTTATATTCGTGTATGTTGTGGATCACGAGTCTGTTGAATAAATTAATCAGTTACATTAATGCTGAGGAATATGGAAGAACAAGCGACGCGTTGATGAGTCGAGGATCAGAATTTTTCAGTGAATGTAGCTTCCTGTGCTGACGTCCACATTGCACACGCAACAGTCTGTTGGGTACAACATGAAACTGCTGCTGCGCATGTTACGCAACAGGTCGTTGCTAGGTATCCGCAGAGTGAGTGAGTTATTTGATGCCCCCAGCTTGGCTAACTGTGAGAGGTTGAGCAGCTGAAGCCTTTCTCAATTATTATCAAATGATTTTAATTCTATCGGATGTATAATCTATTGATATTGTTCACATCTTTATTGCGATATGTAGCTTCACCACCAGTATAATAATAATTCCTGTGTCGTACACGGCCCCCTACCTCCATGTACGGCACCAGGCGGCAGGTGACGTCACCCAGGATCCTCCGGTGGGTCAGGTGGTTGAGCGCCACCACTGGAAGGCAGACCACCAGGACCAGGAAGTCCCAGAATGCTATGCTGGCCAGCAGGTAGTTCCAGGCAGACCTCATGTAGTAGTTGTTCCAAACCACACACATGACCGCCATGTTGGCCACCACGCCCACGGCCAGCACCAGGCCGGCCAAGAGCAGAACCACATAGGCCACGTAGGAGCTCTCCGCCAGCGGGTATAACGGGTTGAAGGGACTCTGGTCGTCGGGGTTGGAGGTGTTTGCCTGGAGGTTGACCTCGTCTCTGTGGCTCAGTTCCACCCTGGTTGTGTTGCTGAACTCTGTGAGTTGAGGCATCGTCACCCACTCGTTCTCAAAGGAGTGGCTGAAAGTGGACTGCTGCTCATCCTCGTCTGCACCGCGGACCCGGCGGTCCAGGCGGACCCGGCGGTCCAGGTCCAGGTCCACCATGTCGGGTACAGGGGGGCTGTGCTCAGGGTTTGGGGCATCGTCTGCAGCCTTTAACTGCGTCCCGCCCTTCAGGTGAAGAACCTCCAGCTGGACGCTGTCGGGGGATTGCTGGGCGTTGCTCTGTTGCTTGTCCTGTTGCTCAACAGTCTTTGCCTGAATGAACTGCAGCGGGAGGTAAAGACAGAGCAGAAACACAAATGATGGAGCCATGACCTCCAAGTTTAAAAAATCCACTTCCAACTAAAACCAGAACTTGAATTTAGTCTGTTTCTGGGAATCGAAGCCCAACAATCTGATGAAACCAGGAGAATCCGAGACGCTTCTGAAACTCTGGATAAAATGATCAGCCTGAGTTTGGAAGTTACCAACTGTCTTCCTCCAAGATTGGTCCAATGAAAATATTCCGATCCCAGATGCAAAGGTTGAGAGCTGAAGTTGAGTTTTCCAAACTGAGCACAACTTGTGTCGTGTGTTTGGACATCCAGCCGAGAAGTTTTCCTCCTCTCCAAACTGTCTCACTTCAGATGCTCCTGTCTGTGTTTCTCATCCATGGGGAATCCAACCGGAGCTCCAGGAGGCGGTGGGCAGGGCGGCGAGCTCAGGTCCGGGTCCCGGTCTGGACTGGCTATCCTGGAGCTCTGAGGTCTCTGGGAACAAGCAGCCCTCTGCTGCACGGCTGGATGGAGCTTTTGTCAGGACTGGCATACAAACAAGGCTGGCAGCCTCACAAATACACACATTTGCCTGCACAATCATGCATGCATCCTTTCTTTGGCTGGTTTGGCTCCCGCTTTCTCACACAGACACATTTAAAGACGCTCAGTTCTGCTGCCCCCTGGTGGACAAACGGAAACTAAACAATGTTTTTAAAGATGAACACAATTATTAAAACAAAAGATTTCTGTTTTTGTTGAGTTTTAGGGCCAGACTGAGTTTTTATAGTACAGTTAGAATAATAATAATGATGCAATAATTATTAAAATTAGTCAAACTAAAGTTATTATGTTTGGGCCAAAGAAATGCAGAACAATTGTTGAAAAAATTCAGAGTATAATATTTTTAAGTCATTATCAGCGATATCTGGGGAATAGCGACATGTAACCCCTGGCCTGTAGGGGCAGCAGGAGCCTGGTTCTGTTTGCTCTGATCATTTAAAAGTTCTTCATGTGGAAATTTAGAATCAATAACCCGTCAGTTTTCTGACTAAAGATGAAAATGAACAAAATCATCATCTTTGGGATTGTTTCTCTTTCATTTCCTGCTGTTTTCGTTGCATTTTTCTCTGTTTTTTGTGTTTTTTCTGTGTTTTTTGTGTTTTTTTGTGTTTTTTGTGTTTTTTCTGTGTTTTTTGTGTTTTTTTGTGTTTTTTGTGGTTTTTCTGTGTTTTTTGTGTTTTTTCTGGTTTTTCTGTTTTTTTGTGGTTTTTGTGGTTTTTTTGTGGTTTTTCTGGTTTTTCTGTGTTTTTTGTGTTTTTTCTGTATTTTTTGTGTTTTTTCTGTTTTTTGTGTTTTTTCTGTTTTTTGTGGTTTTTCTGTTTTTTGTGTTTTTTCTGTATTTTTTCTGTTTTTTGTGTTTTTTCTGTTTTTTGTGTTTTTTCTGTATTTTTTGTGTTTTTTCTGTTTTTTCTGTTTTTTGTGGTTTTTCTGTGTTTTTTGTGTTTTTTCTGTTTTTTTGTGGTTTTTCTGTTTTTTGTGGTTTTTCTGTATTTTTTGTTGTTTTTTTTCTCTGTTTTTTTCTGCATGTTCCTGCTTTACCTGCAGTGTTTTCCCTTCAGCTGCAGGATTTCTGGAGAAACGCTGTTGGTGCCTCACAGGAAGTCTCACTCTCGCCATGCAGGAAGCTTTACGCCTCATAAGAAAACAAACGAGTGCCTGGTCTGATTTTCCCATCGCCATGGAGACCAGCGTGCTCCCAGTCTGGACTCTCAGAAACCTTCAGAGGAACTGGGAAGTCTGGGCGGATCGGTCCGGTCAGACGGATCATTAAACGGCTGCAACACAAATTATGATATTAAAAACAAGAAATTCATTTGTTTAATTTCACAACAGAAAGTTCAACTTTTCCACTGCAGTAATTTGCTGAGTGCTGAAGCAGCGCTGATCTTTTCTCCCATCTCTGCTGTGAACCCATCGGTTTTCACATCGTTTCATAACTTTCATAAACATTTCATGGAAACAGCAGCGACCGGACCAGTCTGCCCAGTTTGGTTGGGCAGACTGGGCAGCCATGACCCGCCTCCCTGCTGCCCCCTGCAGGTCAGAGGGTTACATGTCACTGTTCCCAGCAGGCCTACTAATGTTGACCTCTGACCTGTGACCTCTGGATGAACGGTTCTTCCTCTCTCAGGTCAGATACTGACTGCTCGAGTGTCTCCATGAACCTGGCGGCCATCTTGTGACTGAAAACGTCCCGATGATAAATTCTGCAGATGAAACTTCAGAAGCAGAGCGAGGATCATCTTCATCTTCCTCCTCTTCGACAGGAAGCAGGAAGTTGGTCGACAGAACTCGCCACACGCCCAATCTGCACGTCTGTCTGGGGAAATCTTCTTCTTCTGTGGTTTTCTGTGTTCTGACAGAAAACTGTGGTTGACGATGAAAAGCCACAGACTTCCTGAAAACGACTGACAGGACGCAGCGTCTCTTCTTCAGCAGTTCACATCGACTGAAGGTTCGGCCAGACAGCGCCTGGCCTCAGGGGTCAGAGGTCATCCTGACAGAAGGTGAACCTGGGATTGTTTAAACAGACGGTCCTCCCGGAGACCTGCAGGTTAACAAATGTTCCAGAAGTTTATGGCGATGAATGATAACATTGTCTCCTGAGATCATTTTCAATAACATAATGATGGCACAGAAATGCATTCTCTCAAAAATCTTCTTTTTTCAAGCAAATATTAACACTGGAGCTGAAATACATTTTGAAAATGAACAAATTCACGTAAACTCAAATAAAATGAATCACAAAATCTCTGTAAACAAAATGATCCTTTTAAGAAGTGAGAGCATAGCTCCACCCTCTGGCATATTTAGGAAATGACGACCAAAAGTGGGCGGAGTCAGGATGCACGTGGGGCGTGGTCAGTTGGGCTGCAGCAGCAACTTTTCAACCACAGAGGGCAGCATAGAGACGGTTTGATGCAGAATTAACAATTTAACGTGGAATATGAAGATGGAGCAGCTTCTACTGCAAACGTTTTAATATCTTCTCTGCAAATTAGCATGAAAACAACAAACTGTCAGGTTAAATTATCAGAAACAAGAAGAATCGACGAGTGAATCTGACCATGTGACAGGCGTCAGTTTGACCTCAGAGTCTCTCCTGCCTGGTTTGGTTCTGGACTCCGGACCTGCTGATCCAGTCATTCCGCTGGATCCAACCTGAAGGTCATGCTGCTGCCACCACCGTGCTTCTGGCTGGGCCCGCTCCCACTCCTGAGGTTCCAGAGGTTTGATTGGTTCAGGTTGACCTTTGAACTTTGCTGTTCTTCCCTCTGTTGTCAGCATTCATCAAACCGAAACTTTGAGTTTAGTGAGGCTGACCTTGTTTTGGTTTTCGAGGCGGAGGGGCGTGCATGTGCCAGCATGTGCACGTGCCCATGCTTGTGTGCGCGCGTGCCCGCGGGGCAGTTCGCTCCTGTTTGCCCTGCAGCGGCGGCTCAGTCTTGAAGTCGCCTGGCAGACTATCAGCGCGGCGCGCACTTCCTGGTTCTGTCCGCCGGAGAGTCTTGACTTTCTCACCCAGGAGGCAGCGAGCCGCCCCGCCGCGTGGAAGCGCCGCGTCCCGCACAGTCCACGCAGGACCCGGACCTGCTGCACACACTCTGCCCGGGAAAGTTTCTGGAAACCGGTTCGCGTTTTTGTTTTCATGCAGAACCCGGCAGCGGGTTCGAGGAGCAGCTGCTGAACCTTTGGGTCCAGGACCCGGGACCGGAGAGCCGGCAGGCCGGCGCAGGGAGCCCCATCTGCGGCTCCACCTGCAGGATCTCCCCGCTGCTGGAGGCGCCTGAAGCGGCTGCAGGATGTCAGACTCTGCGTCCAGCTTCCTCCACATCGGAGACATCGTGTCTCTGTACGCGGAGGGTTCGGTGAACGGCTTCATCAGCACGCTGGGGTGAGTCCAGCCTGCTGCTGCTGCTGATAATGATGATAATAATGATGATAATAATGATGATAATAATGATGATAACTTCAATGAAACACAAACTTAGTTTAATAAATAAACATTTTACAAACAATAAACAAACGTATCATTTAATATAAATGTCATAAACACATTAAAATAAAAAAGTAAGTTTAAAATAAGAAAAAGCTCAGAATAAAATAAACTAAAAGTTGTTCAAAGATGATTATTGATGAGCTATCAGGATCAAATAGATCATTTTAAATCGTTTCTCTGAATCTGACGGGATTCTGGAGTTTTCTGCAGAATATTTTCATCTGTTTTGGGGATTTTCTGCCTCCCTGTGTGCTTTGAGTTTTCTGCGTCGAGGTTTTGTGGCGTTTCCAGATGTGGGTCCAGGTTCTATGAACACATGAGACCAGAAGAGGAAAAGAATCATACAGTCTCAGATTTTTACATTTTGAAGTTTTTGTCTCTAAACTTTCTAACTTGGAAACTTCTGAGTCTGTTGGCTTCAACTTTAAAGTCTTTCCCGTGATTCTCAGCTGGATATTGGTCTGGACTTTGACTAGGCCATTCTAACACATGACCCTGCTTTGACTTGAACCATCCCATAATATCTCTGACTGGTTGTCCTGCTGGAAGCTGACCTTTGACCCCAGGCTAAGCTCTTCTGCAGGTTTTCTCCATCATGATGCTGCCACCACCGTGCTTCTCACTGGTTCTGTTTCTGTTGGGGGATTTCCAGACGACTGACTGAACTGTGGCTCTGACGAACCTCGGCTGCAGTTACACCAGGGTCAAAGTTCAGACAGGCAGACGTCACAACAGACATGATTAGTTTTGTCTGTATTTTGCTGTTTTCTTCCTGTCTGCTCGGTTTGGAGGCTCTAACTGAAAGTGAAAAAAGGAAGCAGAACTCATTTATGATGATGAGTTAATTTACTCAATGTTTGATGAAAACCTGACCAGAGCCTGACCAGTATTGATCGCGTATCGATGATCTGATTATTTAACAAAATCAGATTTTCATAGAAAATCAGACATGAGGATCTAAAACATGAAGCTGATCTGGATCCAGTCGGGCGCAGACCCGACAGTAACGTTGGGTCTGGACAGAGGCAGCCAAACCGGATCGCTGCCTGAGTCGTCGGGTCAGAACCGGTTCTTCTTACAAACTGTTGAAGGTAGAACTGGACCATCAGGAGCAAATAAAACTCTTTTCATTGCAAACCTACAGAACCAGAACAGAAACCCACTGAGGTTCTGCTGGACCGGGTCGCAGCCCGTCCAGGTCCAGACCCACTTCAGGTTTGTCAGAGGAAGTTCTGTGTGGCTCTTTGACAGTCGGGTCCAATTAGGGTTGAAACGTTGATGCAGGTCTGTGTGTGTGTGTGTGTGGGTGTGTGTGTGTATCTCTGTGTGTGTGTGTGTTTATGCGTGTATCTGTGTGTGTGTGTGTTTATGTGTGTGTGTGTGTGTGTGTTTATGCGTGTATCTGTGTGTGTGTGTGGTTATGTGTGTGTGTGTGTGTGTGTGTTTATGCGTGTATCTGTGTGTGTGTGTGTGTGTGTGTGTGTGTGTGTGTGTGTTTATGTGTGTGTGTGTGTGTGTGTGTTTATGTGTGTGTGTGTGTGTGTGTGTGTGTGTGTGGGTGTGTGTGTGTATCTCTGTGTGTGTGTTTATGCGTGTATCTGTGTGTGTGTGTGTTATGTGTGTGTGTGTGTGTGTTTATGTGTGTGTGTGTGTGTGTGTGTGTGTGTGTGTGTGTGTGTGTGTTATGTGTGTGTGTGTGTGTGTGTGTGCGTGCGAGCGTGTGTGTGTCCATCCAGGTGGTTCTGGTTCTGACTCAGTCTGAAGTTTAGAACTTCTCTTGCTGATTCTCGTTGTCTCCCAACTGAAGGTCAACGATAATGTTGTGTGGTTACCATAGAAACAAAGGTCAGTGAAAGGTCATCATAATCTCTTCAATCAAATTAGCTTTGGACGTAAAACGTCTCGGTGTTCAGAACGGAACCAAAAAACCGGGCAGAACCGGACAATACAGAACCTGAACAGTTCACTGAATGGAACTAAATGAACAGTTCACTAGATGGAACTAAATGGACAGTTCACTGGAAGGAACGGATCTTTGTATCTGAACTGTTAAGGACTGAACGGAACTGATTTCTGTGGCTAAATGACCTCTGACCCCTGTTGGGTTTTATTAAAATCAGTAGCTAAAGCGATACGTACACATAGTATGTAGTGGAAGCTAATGCTAATGTGCTCAAACATTTATTTAATTTTGACATCATAATTAATATTTTCTATAACAATCTTAGATATTTTATCTACATTCATAAATATTTTCCATTTCTTCCACTATATCTTCTTTTGAATTAATTTATTGGGGCAGAAAACAGAACAGGCGTCACCTTCAAATTAAGAGCATGAATATCAACACTTAATAACTTCAAGAATTCTTAACAGTTAAAACTTCAACGTAAAAGTCCAATTTTAACTGAAAATTAGCACTTTATGTTAATTTTCCTGGAAATATTAATGTAGGGGAAGCTGTGCGCTAAACGTTTACAAAGTGCTAAATAGAAAAGTACATTAGCGGTAGCATGTTAGCGGCATGCTTTAATTAGGCCATGTTTCATTTGTTCCTCCGAAGAGTTTTTGCGGCGCCAGTGGTTTGTATTTTTGACAGTTGACAGACAGGAAAACCGGGAGACATGGGGCAAAGGTCACCAGGAGTTGACCCCGCGACGTCCGCGTCGAGGACTGAGGCCTCCAAGCGCTGGCCGTGCTGACCTCTGCGCCACCACAGCACGGCCCTAATTAGGCCATGTCTGATCGGATCTGGACATGAAAGCAGAATCGTTGTTTTTTCTGTTTGAGTTCCAGTGAAACGACTTCCTGGTGTCTCCGGTTGTCCTACCTGTCTGTCCTGCCTGTCAGCGTCTGCAGCACGACTGCAGCACGTCTGCAGCACGACTGCAGCACGTCTGCAGCACGACTGCAGCACGTCTGCAGCACGACTGCAGCACGTCTGCAGCACGACTGCAGCACGTCTGCAGCACGACTGCAGCAGGACTGCAGCTCTTCCTCCACCCATCAAGTCAAACACGGATAAACGTGCAGAGATCCGGCTTTTTCTGTCCCACAGTGTTTCCTGTAGGTAAATGGGTTCAGAGCGGGATACTCGAACCGGGTCGACGGAGGGAAGATGGACCCGCTGCTTTCCATACAGTCAAATTGTGCCGAGCGGCTCAGAGCTTCCAGGAAGCAGCAGACGACCCGCCGTCGTTCCTGGTTCTGTAGGTTTGACCAACACAGCTCCGTTCATCAGGAGGGCGTTAAAACCTGCCGACGTTTAATATGAGTCATTAATTATGAGCTGATTTCTCCTCTACATTCTATCTGGAGCTGGGAATCCTGGATGTGAAACCAGAACCGTGCGAACAAGCCTTAAACAAATTAGAAGCGGCTCAAGTTACACGTCAGTTTGTTTCTGATCCAAAGTGTCATTTATGAAGAAATGCAGCTTTTAGGGACTTTTGTGGTGAAGATCAGGAACAACATGCAGGTTCCTGCCAGATCCGCTCCGCCGTTCATGTGTGACGGAGTTGGGTTAGTTTCTGGATCCTGGTGATTAATTCTGCTGCGAATCAGAATGAAGAACGACTTCATGCTGCAGGACTGAGTCAACACACCTGAGGGAGAGTAAAAGGAGCAATCAGCCGGCGACGCACACCTGAAAACACCCAGAGACACACAAAGGAGCTGATTGGCTGCTCTTCAAGGAAAACAGTCTGAAAGGAAAGAGCTTTCAACTCGAAAGACAAACAAAGGAAGAAGTGGAGGGAGAGTAATGATGCATAAAAGCTACAGCCGCCACGTTTTAAAGAAAAGCAGAACAAAAACAAAAAACTGCTCTGCAGTTTTCAGAAATGAGACCTGAATGTCTTGAGTGGAGGCTAATGGAGGTTAGCATCAGGAAGCGACCTCACAGCCTGGTACCAATTTACATCATAATTTGCAGACTCCTGATTTGTTTATCGGGACATTAAAGCAGAATCGTTGTAACCTGTGAACCTGATGTTTGCAGGTTGTGGCTTTTTATTAGAACCTGGAAGTAAACATGGTGTCAGAGAAAACCACCGGTCATGTAAATCAAGACTCTGCTGCATGTTTAGAAAGAACAAAGATCCAACCTCAGACGACGAGTCTGAGACGGAAACATCTCAACAAAACCAAACCAAAACACAGAAGTGGAGCAACTTCACGGCTTTCGTGGTCAAAAAGCCCCATGATGGTCGACCCGGTTCTACTGGAACCAGAACTTCTGCTCCACCTCCAGCTGCTGTGGCTCTGAATCAAACCAGCCTGTTCCCCTCCTGGCCTGTGGGGGCGCTGCACCAAGAACCACTGCAGGAAACGACACTAAAACCTCTGAAGACGCTGAGAGCAACTTCCTGTTTCACCAGATGAAACAAGATGGAGGCGTCAGAGTTTAGTGATTTCTCTTTAGTCTTTGGCTGAAGACCAGGAGCCATTTTTGCTGCTAGCGCTAGGCTAACATGTTAGCTTTAGTTGTATTTACCCAGAATGCCTTGTGCTGTAGTTCACTTCCTGCTGTTGGCGCGGTCTCTGGTCCGCTTGGTGTTCACGTTCAAACTGAACCAAAGTTCACTTCAACCAAAATCAGACTGAGGTTTGTACAACTGGAGGTCAGAGGTCAATTAGAGTTCAGTCCTCACCAACTAAACATTGATGGCAAGAGAGCAGCAATATTCTCAGACAAGCAACTTCTGCTGAAACACATTAGTAGTTCCTTAATGCAACATGCTAGCAGCTCTGGGTTAATGCCTACAACCGCATAGCCTGTCAGCTAACGGCCTCATATGACGGCTGTTAGCTAACGACCTCGTAGCCTGTCAGCTAATGACCTCGTAGCCTGTCAGCTAACGACCTCGTAGCCTGTCAGCTAACGGCCTCATATGATGGCTGTTAGCTAACGACCTCGTAGCCTGTCAGCTAACGGCCTCATATGACGGCTGTTAGCTAACGACCTCGTAGCCTGTCAGCTAACGACCTCGTAGCCTGTCAGCTAACGGCCTCGTAGCACGGCTGTTAGCTAACGGCCTCGTAGCACGGCGGCCGTTCCTGAAGAGGAAACGCTCCTCAGAGTGATGAAGTCATGTGTGTCCATCTGTAAAGAGCAGCTCTGCTTTGTCCTAAACAGTGAGGTTGATGGTTGATGAGGACACACACACACACACACACACACACACACACACACACACACACACACACACACACACACACACACACACTGACACGCTCTGACTAGTTCAGTAAAACCAGCAGCTCCTTAAATAGAAATAAACTCTGAAACATAAAAATGAAAATAGGTTGAACTCTATATTTGGTCCTGAACCTGAAGAACCGATCAGAACCTGAGCGAAACCCAACATGGCTCCATAATTTCAGCATTTCTAACCGCAGGCGGGATCATCATGTTCTCTGTCATCTTTACTGGAGATAATGGAGCCTGTCAGGATGAGAAACGTCCTTATTACCATCATGGCTCTTATGATGGTTGTGACTGAATGTCTGGTTGTGATTCTGCATGAAAGTCTTGAAAACATGATATATATTCATGAAATGTGACTGATTGTGTCTGGTGTGCAGCTGCAGCTCGTCTGATAACCAGGAAGTTTTATTTTTAGAACAGTTGTTGTCTTCCGTCAACACATTTACCACCAAAACCATTGAGATGAGCCTTTAAATGATCTCCATTATTAGTAGTAGTACTATCTAAATTACTATAAATATTACAAAATATTAAGATACATTTTTAAATATGTATGTTTCATTTTTATTTTTAACCCAAAAAGGCAAAAGTTCAACATCAGGCAGTTTCATCAGTTTAGTTCAGTTTTATTCTATATTCTATCAATAGCTGAGACTTTGTCCTCTTTATGAAACTCAGCCAAGCGATTCGCATCAGGAACTGAAACACATCTCCAGAAAGCAAACAGTCCTCAGGTTGGGTCTGCATCCCCCTTTATTACAGAGTAATAACCAGTAATAACCAGTAATAACCAGTAATAACCAGTAACGGCTGTCGGATGTGAAGCGTTTTGTGTCATGAGTTAAAACCCGAGCCTATAAATAGATGAGCTTCCTGTGTGCAGACGGCCGTCCTGCAGCTTTCAGCTTTCATTTCATTTACGAGTCACATCCGGTTCTCCTGCGCCGCACCGTCAGCCTCCTGCATCTCGCTGCCGATTGGCTGGAAACCGAGGGGGACGGCGGCCATTTTTAACATCTGTCTGTCACTCGGGTTTAATTCAGATGTTTTATTTAACAGTTGGACGTCCAGCCAATAGATCGGGATGTTTTGGTTATTTATCTGAGAATGATTATTAGTTCTTTGAGGTTCAGACTGGAATCACGATTCATGAACAAGAATATCACGATAACTTTATCATCAAAAACATCATCAGTTTATCACCTTTATTTATTTGGGTCGACAGATATTTCTGTTTCCAGAATCTTTTATCTATTTTAAATTTCATTTTTAATCTGACAGAGAATCAGTGGAGGGAGCTGAAGATTAGGGTGATGGTAAGGAGGCCTTCCATCCACCACCAGAGCGAAACAACGTGAATAAAGCAGATCTGTTATTTAGAGTTGGTTGTTATTTTTCTGTTCCCAGTTTCAGCCCAGTTAGTGAAACCAGAATATCACTGGATGACAGGAGAGAAGGTTTCTATCTCCACATTCCTCAGAACTGACTTAGTTTGGAGTTTTAGTTTTTCTAAGATCATAACATTTATTCATAATTCTGGGTTAAATTGACCAACTTTTATTTTTGTTGCACCTCTTTGGTTTTCTGAAAGCTGTTTGCAGGTTGCAGGTTGCTGGTCTGTGTTGCAGGTTGCTGGTCTGTGTTGCAGGTTGCTGGTCTGTGTTGCAGGTTGCTGGTTGCTGGTCTGTGTTGCTGGTTGCTGGTCTGTGTTGCAGGTTGCTGGTCTGTGTTGCAGGTTGCTGGTTGCTGGTCTGTGTTTCAGGTTGCTGGTCTGTGTTGCAGGTTGCTGGTTGCAGGTCTGTGTTGCTGGTTGCTGGTCTGTGTTGCAGGTTGCTGGTTGCAGGTCTGTGTTGCAGGTTGTTGGTTGCAGGTCTGTGTTGCAGGTTGCTGGTCTGTGTTGCTGGTTGCAGGTCTGTGTTGCAGGTTGCTGGTCTGTGTTGCTGGTTGCTGGTCTGTGTTGCAGGTTGCTGGTCTGTGTTGCTGGTTGCTGGTCTGTGTTGCAGGTTGCTGGTCTGTGTTGCTGGTTGCTGGTCTGTGTTGCAGGTTGCTGGTCTGTGTTGCTGGTTGCTGGTCTGTGTTGCAGGTTGCTGGTCTGTGTTGCTGGTTGCTGGTCTGTGTTGCAGGTTGCTGGTCTGTGTTGCTGGTTGCTGGTTGCTGGTCTGTGTTGCAGGTTGCTGGTTGCAGGTCTGTGTTGCTGGTTGCTGGTCTGTGTTGCAGGTTGCTGGTTGCAGGTCTGTGTTGCTGGTTGCTGGTCTGTGTTGCAGGTTGCTGGTCTGTGTTGCAGATTGCTGGTCTGTGTTGCAGGTTGCTGGTCTGTGTTGCAGGTTGCTGGTTGCAGGTTTGTGTTGCTGGTTGCAGGTCTGTGTTGCAGATTGCTGGTTGCTGGTCTGTGTTGCAGGTTGCTGGTTGCAGGTTTGTGTTGCTGGTTGCAGGTCTGTGTTGCAGGTTGCTGGTTGCAGGTCTGTGTTGCAGGTTGCTGGTCTGTGTTGCAGGTTGCTGGTTGCAGGTTTGTGTTGCTGGTTGCAGGTCTGTGTTGCAGATTGCTGGTTGCTGGTCTGTGTTGCAGGTTGCTGGTTGCTGGTTTGTGTTGCAGGTTGCTGGTCTGTGTTGCAGGTTGCTGGTTGCAGGTTTGTGTTGCTGGTTGCTGGTCTGTGCTGCAGGTTGCTGGTTTGTGTTGCTGGTTGCTGGTCTGTGTTGCAGGTTGCTGGTTGCAGGTTTGTGTTGCTGGTTGCTGGTCTGTGTTGCAGGTTGCTGGTCTGTGTTGCAGATTGCTGGTTGCTGGTCTGTGTTGCAGGTTGCTGGTCTGTGTTGCAGGTTGCTGGTTGCAGGTTTGTGTTGCTGGTTGCTGGTCTGTGTTGCAGATTGCTGGTTGCTGGTCTGTGTTGCAGGTTGCTGGTTGCAGGTTGTGTTGCTGGTTGCTGGTCTGTGTTGCAGGTTGCTGGTTTGTGTTGCTGGTTGCTGGTCTGTGTTGCTGGTTGCTGGTTGCTGGTCTGTGTTGCAGGTTGCTGGTCTGTGTTGCAGGTTGCTGGTTGCAGGTCTGTGTTGCTGGTTGCAGGTCTGTGTTGCAGGTTGCTGGTTGCAGGTCTGTGTTGCAGGTTGCTGGTCTGTGTTGCTGGTTGCAGGTCTGTGTTGCAGGTTGCTGGTTGCAAGTTCGTGTTGCAGGTTGCAGGTTGCTGGTCTGTGTTGCAGGTTGCTGGTTGCTGGTCTGTGTTGCAGGTTGCTGGTTGCTGGTCTGTGTTGCTGGTTGCTGGTCTGTGTTGCAGGTTGCTGGTCTGTGTTGCAGGTTGCTGGTTGCTGGTTGCAGGTTTGTGTTGCTGGTTGCAGGTCTGTGTTGCAGATTGCTGGTTGCTGGTCTGTGTTGCAGGTTGCTGGTTGCAGGTTTGTGTTGCTGGTTGCAGGTCTGTGTTGCAGGTTGCTGGTTGCTGGTCTGTGTTGCAGGTTGCTGGTCTGTGTTGCAGGTTGCTGGTTGCAGGTTTGTGTTGCTGGTTGCTGGTCTGTGTTGCAGGTTGCTGGTTTGTGTTGCTGGTTGCTGGTCTGTGTTGCAGGTTGCTGGTTGCAGGTTTGTGTTGCTGGTTGCTGGTCTGTGTTGCAGGTTGCTGGTTTGTGTTGCTGGTTGCTGGTCTGTGTTGCAGGTTGCTGGTCTGTGTTGCAGATTGCTGGTTGCTGGTCTGTGTTGCAGGTTGCTGGTCTGTGTTGCTGGTTGCAGGTTTGTGTTGCTGGTTGCTGGTCTGTGTTGCTGGTTGCTGGTCTGTGTTGCAGGTTGCTGGTCTGTGTTGCAGGTTGCTGGTTGCAGGTTTGTGTTGCTGGTTGCTGGTCTGTGTTGCAGATTGCTGGTTGCTGGTCTGTGTTGCAGGTTGCTGGTCTGTGTTGCAGGTTGCTGGTCTGTGTTGCAGGTTGCTGGTCTGTGTTGCAGGTTGCTGGTCTGTGTTGCAGGTTGCTGGTTTGTGTTGCAGGTTGCTGGTCTGTGTTGCAGATTGCTGGTCTGTGTTGCAGGTTGCTGGTTGCAGGTCTGTGTTGCAGGTTGCTGGTCTGTGTTGCAGGTTGCTGGTCTGTGTTGCAGGTTGCTGGTTGCAGGTTTGTGTTGCTGCAGGTTGTTGAATGTTTCTGTCTCTCTGCAGGTTGGTGGACGATCGCTGCGTCGTGGAACCGGCTGCTGGCGATCTGGAGAACCCGCCCAAAAAGTTCAGAGGTGACGCTTCCTGTCTGCAGGCCTGAGGGCGGGGCGCTGGTTACCATGACAACGGCCAGTTAGCGGATTGTCTACGTTTTTTCAAATCCGCCTCCATGTGTAGAGGACGGGTCGTCGGTTCGATTCCCAGTCGTTTCCTGAACGTCTTCCTCTCTGCAAAACAGATGATTTAATCAGTTTCACCTTCTGCTTCCATCTTTGTTGTTGACACTGTAAAACATTTTGGTAAAGTTTAGTTATGAATCAGTCTTTGTCAGAGACAGGAAACCATTAAAGGCAGCAGGAAAAACCTTCATTCAACAAACACTGCAAATAAATCCAGGATAATGTGATTCAGAGTTCAAAGAATCAGATTAAATCATCAATACGTATAATTAGTTATTTAAAAAATGAAAAGTTTCAGAATAAAATGTGTCGTTTATGAGATTTTAATGAAACTGATTTATTCTGCTTGGTTCAGTTTATTCAGCTGGAATATAAAACATAATTTTATAGTGAATGGGTCTGAACCAGTTTGAGGAGCTGTGAACCGGTACCAGGCTGTTCCTGGGTCAGAACCAGCAGGAAGCCATTAAAGCTGCATGTGGAACAGAAATAAGGCCTTTAGAGCGAGTCCAGCTCCGCTCCGCAGGGAGCCGCAGCAACACCAAGCTTCCAGCAGCTTCTCTCTGCTGACCGCTGCCAGGCCCCGGCCCGGCCCGGCCCGGCCCGGCTGGTTCCGAGGGGCCGGTCCATCTGGTCGCCGGGACCCGGGGGGCGCGATCCAGTTTAGAAGTGGATCAGAGACACAGACTGACGGCTCAAACTTTAGAGTTTCTGATTAAACTTCCCGACCCATTTCCACTGGTTCTGTCAGGAGGAACGCAGAAAAATCCAGAAAAACCTTCAGGAAGAAAACCCAGAACATCGAGAATAGAAATGTTCATTTGTGTCCCGCTGTGAGGAGATTCAGGTCAAAGGTCAGCAGAAGCAGCAGATTGAAAGGAAATAATGAAACAGTAAAATAAGAAACGGCAACATGGAGACATAAACTACATCGAAAAATAATTCAAATAGCACTGTTTGAAATAAATGTGCAGCTCAAAATGAAAAATGTGCATAAAAAACAGCTGAAGTGAAAAAACTGAAAATAAAATATAATTTAATCCCAACTGACAAAAAGCATAAAAAGTTTTGATTCATTTCATGTCAAACAGAGGAAGAAATGCTGAATTTACATACATGTAGCAAAGATATTAGTTCATTTAACTTGAATTAACTAATTAGAAGGATTTCAACTTTGGAAACTGTTAACCAGTAGGAACCTTTGCATGCCAGTGTTTCTGGTATACCAGTATATCTGACGCACACAAAGCTACATCTGCTAACAGCAGCGATGGAAGCAGCTACTCTGGTTCATTTCTGCTTCAACGCTGGTAATGTGCCCAACTTGTGCTAAAAGGACTTAGCCTATCAGCGATGCTAGCCTAAAATAGCATCTCCTGCTAAACATTTAGCAGCTAATGCTAATGTTAGCACAGAGTGGATTTCTAAAGAAGCTGCAGGAATGGTTAGAACATGCAAAATGATTAAAAAAAATCAAGTCCTACTACAACAAAAATAATAAAGTAGGGATTTGAAATTCATTTCTTGTGCTATCCATAATAAATAAATGTATTTTTAATTATTTATTTTGTAATAAAATCTGTAATCTGGTTTTAGATGCATTTTAATATCTTGTAGACGATGTTAAAAACAAACGGAGCTGTGTGGCTCCATTAGGACCAAAGCAATGACTCTTAACATTAAACACACACACACACACACACACACACACACACACACACACACACACACACACACACAGATATCTGCTGTTTGACAAACACACAGTGGAAGCAGGAAACACCCAGTATCCTGCAGGAGAGTCAATATTGACACAGTTCTTTTCACACAACGGCTCCGGATCTCGGTTCAGAGTCCCAGTCCAGACTGAGACGGGTTCTGGAACCAGGACGGGTCCAGAAGACAGAGGAGGAGATCGGGGAGTGGCTGGAGGGCCGGGTTGCAGCACAGAGAAATGAAAACAAAGCGTCTGCTGGCGGGTTTCCAGCTGAGCCTTCAGGCTCTGATCACATTTCTGTGGAAAACTTCAGAGCTGCGTGTCGAGTCCTGCCAGCACTCCCAACACCAGTCCTGGGCCTTGAACGCTTCGCAGCCTGAACACAATGTGACCTGAATGCAACACACCCTGAACGCATCGTGACCTGAACCCATCACAGCCTGAACGCATCACACCCTGAACGCATCACACCCTGAACGCATCGTGACCTGAACGCATCACACCCTGAACGCAACACGACCTGTACGCAACACGACCTGAACGCATCACACCCTTAATGCATCACACCCTGAATGCAACACGACCTGAACGCAACACACCCTGAACGCATCGTGACCTGAACGCATCACCCCCTGAACACATCACACCCTGAACGCATCGTGACCTGAACGCATCACACCCTGAACGCATCGTGACCTGAACGCAACACACCCTGAACGCAACACGACCTGTACGCAACACGACCTGAATGCAACACACCCTTAATGCAACACACCCTGAATGCAACACACCCTGAACGCAACACACCCTGAACGCAACACACCCTGAATGCAACACACCCTGAACGCATCGCGACCTGAATGCAGGGAAATAACAAAGAGGAAAATTCCCACCAAAAAACTTTTAGATTAATTTAACTTGTTTACAAGATTAAAACTTTTATTCCAGAAATAATAATATCATAATATGAATTTTCTCATTAAAACTGATATCATCTTTATTGTGTGAGGTTCTGGGTTCGGTACTTTTTCTGTTCATCAGACAGTTTCTCAAAGTCCAAACAGAGTTCTAGACCCGGTTCTGTTGTTTTCCAGACTGCCTGTTCAAGGTGTGTCCGATGAGCCGGTACTCGGCCCAGAAGCAGTACTGGAAGGCCAAGCAGGCCAAGCATGAGAAGGACAAGATCGGCGACGTGGTTCTGCTGCAGAAGCTGCAGGTTAGCGGACTGGACAGGCGGAGGAGGAGGTTCTGCTGGTCTGGTTCTGATCTGGTTCTGTTCTGGGTCTGCAGCACGCATCCAACCTGGAGCAGAAGCAGAATGAGACGGAGAACAGGAAGGTCCATGGAGACATCGTCAAATACGGAACCGTCATCCAGGTAACCGGCGTTTCCTGCTTCCTCTGAGGCTCAGCGAACACAGCATGGTTGGACCCGGTTCTGGTTCTGCAGCAGAACCCTGCAGAGCTTCTCTTCATGATCTTCATCATCAGAACATCTGAATGATCGCTAACAGAAAGCATTTCAGTCAGTCTGTCCGGATCCGGACCAGATCCGGACAGACTGATCCGGTGGTTCCGGTTCTGCTTCCTGGGTCGGTTCCACTCAGCCGGAATGTGATCCATAAGTATTGACATCTAATGACGGATCAATACATCCAAACTGCCTCTGCAGAAACTTTTGGTTCCTGTAAATCAGGGCAGCTTCCCCACAGAGGTCAAAGTTCATGTTTGTCTAAGTTTAATGTGGTCGTGTGGAGCAGCTCTGATCGATTTCTAATCAATATCCTACCTGTAGTCAGTTTGGAGAATCGGTCGTCATGGCGATGACGTCAACATGAATGACTTTTACTTTTTACTGGCCGCTCCCTGTTTCCATGACGACCAGGTGATCCACCATCGTTTCCCGACATCAAAAAGCCGAACCGGGTCAGTAACCATGGTTACAGAGCCGCAGTCCAGACCAGCAGGTCCAGGAGATCCAGATCCTTGCAGGGTATAGATGACCTGTTAATCTGTCAGGTCCAGATTATCAGTTAATCTATCAGGTCCAGATTATCAGTTAATCTATCAGTCCAGATTATCAGTTAATCTGTCAGGTCCAGATTATCAGTTAATCTATCAGGTCCAGATTATCAGTTAATCTATCAGGTCCAGATTATCAGTTAATCTGTCAGGTCCAGATTATCAGTTAATCTATCAGGTCCAGATTATCAGTTGATCTGTCAGGTCCAGATTATCAGTTAATCTGTCAGGTCCAGATTATCAGTTAATCTGTCAGGTCCAGATTATCAGTTAATCTGTCAGGTCCAGATTATCAGTTAATCTATCAGGTCCAGATTATCAGTTAATCTATCAGGTCCAGATTATCAGTTAATCTGTCAGGTCCAGATTATCAGTTAATCTATCAGGTCCAGATTATCAGTTAATCTGTCAGGTCCAGATTATCAGTTAATCTATCAGGTCCAGATTATCAGTTAATCTATCAGGTCCAGATTATCAGTTAATCTGTCAGGTCCAGATTATCAGTTAATCTATCAGGTCCAGATTATCAGTTGATCTGTCAGGTCCAGATTATCAGTTAATCTGTCAGGTCCAGATTATCAGTTAATCTGTCAGGTCCAGATTATCAGTTAATCTATCAGGTCCAGATTATCAGTTAATCTGTCAGGTCCAGATTATCAGTTAATCTGTCAGGTCCAGATTATCAGTTAATCTGTCAGGTCCAGATTATCAGTTAATCTATCAGGTCCAGATTATCAGTTAATCTGTCAGGTCCAGATTATCAGTTAATCTATCAGGTCCAGATTATCAGTTAATCTGTCAGGTCCAGATTATCAGTTAATCTGTCAGGTCCAGATTATCAGTTAATCTGTCAGGTCCAGATTATCAGTTAATCTGTCAGGTCCAGATTATCAGTTGATCTGTCAGGTCCAGATTATCAGTTGATCTGTCAGGTCCAGATTATCAGTTAATCTGTCAGGTCCAGATTATCAGTTAATCTATCAGGTCCAGATTATCAGTTAATCTGTCAGGTCCAGATTATCAGTTAATCTGTCAGGTCCAGATTATCAGTTGATCTGTCAGGTCCAGATTATCAGTTGATCTGTCAGGTCCAGATTATCAGTTGATCTGTCAGGTCCAGATTATCAGTTAATCTGTCAGGTCCAGATTATCAGTTGATCTGTCAGGTCCAGATTATCAGTTGATCTGGGCCGATCAGAGGTTATCACAGCAGCAGGAATCTCTCCCAGCCGCCGTCTCTCATCTGGATTAGTTTATGGCCCTGAAGCCCAGTCAATATTGACTCTGCGATAACGGCGTGTCAACACACACTGCAGGGTGTGTGAGAGAGATGAAGGAGTGGAGGAGTTACTAGAACAATTTTCCTATAGAGCTTTAAACTGGGCGGTTATTATGGGATGGAGAACCAGTTGAGACTGGAGCTGAGATTAACGATCAGATCGCTCCGGATTAAAGAGGCAGGAAGATTAAATAAACCGAGATGACAAAAGTACCAGAAGGGCTAATTAGAGGGGAGCGGATGCAGCTGGGAGCAGAACGGTGGTTTTAACCCCCAACAAAAAAACAGAGGAAAAAAACTGAACTGTGAGCAGAAACATGAAGGGTTAGGGGTTAAGAGTTAAGTTTAGGGGTTAGGGGTTAGGGGTAAAGGTTAGGGGTTAGGGGTAGGGTAACAGCACTGACTGACCCGGTTCTGCCTTGGTTGGACCAGGAGTGGAGGGGTTGGGATGTGATGCGTTCACTTCATGATTATCATTTTTATTGTTTAAGTTCAGATTCTTATTAATTATGACGCTTTCTCACATTAATGACAGATAAACAGACATCAGCGTTCAGACGCTTTGAAAACAATCTGAGACGATTTAGTTTTGGAAGTGGAAAGACGTTTGGGATGAAAACATCGGAAGTACAACGTCGGATAGTCATCATAATTTCCTGCCGTGTGAACACAGCTTTTCTCTCTCCACATGTTCATCTCATGTGCAGCTTCTCCACATGAAGAGTAATAAATATCTGACGGTGAACAAGCGTCTGCCGGCGCTGCTGGAGAAGAACGCCATGCGCGTCACGCTGGACGGGACGGGGAACGAGGGATCCTGGCTCTTCATCCAACCATTCTGGAAACTCCGGGCCAACGGAGACAACGTAACAAAATACATGACCCCCACATGACCCCCACATGACCCCCACATGACCTCCTCATGACCCCCACATGACCTCCACATGACCCCCACATGACCTCCACATGACCCCCACATGACCTCCACATGACCCCCACATGACCTCCACATGACCCCCACATGACCTCCACATGAGCCCCACATGACCCCCACATGACCTCCACATGACCTCCACATGACCCCCACATGACCTCCACATGACCCCCACATGACCTCCACATGACCCCCACATGACCCCCACATGACCCCCACATGACCTCCACATGACCCCCACATGACCTCCACATGACCCCCACATGACCTTCCTGTGACCTTCAGATTCACTAAATATTAACAACAAAATATTCTCAGAAATGGACAAATGAATAAAATGTACCAAAAGTTATTTCAGTTGAACAAAATTTAAAAGATATTTCAGAAAATTGATTCATTAAAACTGTCATAATGCATAAAGTGAACATAAATTTAATTTAGCAAAATGTTATTAAAAACTGCATTTGTTAGTACATCAACTTTCTAAACAGACACATTGAACTTTTATTTAACTTTTACTGACTGTTCAAAATATTTTAATATTTACCATAAAAATTAAATGTTAGATATCTAAACATTATGAAAAGTTTTTTTATTTGTACAGCATCACATTTAACATTTATTTTATTTATTTACTTTAAAGATCATAGATTTTAATTTAATTTCACTTTTTTATGCATGAGTCTCTTAATTGAGCTTTTTTCAATTTCAGCTATAAAACTAATTTTATGTGATTTTAGGTTAATATATCTTCCTTTTCAGCTGATCGCCGAGCAGAAGTTGAACGATGTTCAGAAATCAGAACATTTTAAGCAGAGTCCGATTAATGTGCCGTTTGTGCTGCAGGTGGTTGTGGGAGATAAAGTCATCATGAACCCGGTGAACGCCGGCCAGCCGCTTCACGCCTCCAACTACGAGCTCAGCGACCATCCAGGCTGCAAGGAGGTGAGACGACAGGAAGACGGAAAATCAGAAAAATAAACAAAAACAGAAAATATGAGAAACGGTCTGAGACTCCGACCGGACCCAAACCAAACCAAGCAACAAAAAAACACTTAAATTATGGCAAAAGAGACTAAATGAGTCCAATAAAGAGACAAACAGAAGCTAAATGTCTAAAGAAGATTAAAAAATAAGCGTAAACATAAAGTCATGACAAAAACATCATTTCCTGCTGCAGACTCTGACGTGTGTCTTCCTCCCCCTGCAGGTCAACTCTGTGAACTGCAACACGAGCTGGAAGATCAACCTGTTCATGATGTTCAGCGACCACCGAGAGGAAGTCCTGAAAGGAGTGAGTCAGACCGGGTCAGCTCAGCTGCCTGCAGAAATGAACCCTGGGAAACGTAGTTCTAACCCCGGCTGTCTCCCAGGGCGACGTCGTCCGACTGTTTCACGCCGAGCAGGAAAAGTTTCTGACCTGCGACGAATACAAGAGCAAGCTGCACGTTTTCCTGCGGACGACTCTGAGGCAGTCGGCCACGTCGGCTACCAGCTCCAACGCCCTGTGGGAGGTCGAGGTACCACACACACACACACACACACACACACACACACACACACATGGACACACACACACACACACACACACATGGACACACACACACACACACACACACACACACACACATGGACACACACACACACACACACATGGACACACACATGGACACACACACACACACACACACATGGACACACATGGACACACACACACACACATGGACACACATGGACACACACACACACACACACATGGACACACACAACACACACACACACACATGGACACACACACACACACATGGACACACACACACACACACACAGACACACACGGACACACACACACACACATGGACACACACACACACACACACATGGACACACACACACACACACACACACACATGGACACACACACACACATGGACACACACACACACACACACACACACACAACACACACACATGGACACACACACACACACACACACATGGACACACACACACACACACACACACACACAGACACACACATGGACACACACACACACATGGACACACATGGACACACACACACACACACATGGACACACACACACACACACACACACACATGGACACACACACACACACACACGGACACACATGGACACACACACACACATGCTGGTATTTCTACATAAATGAAGACTTTCCAGGGACAAAAATCATTTTATTTACTGAATTTTTTTGACCACTACTGGTCAAAGCTGACCCTAAACCTGACCTTTAACCCAAACACTGCAGCAGGACCTTCATTGGTCCCCATAAGGTTAGTAAATACGACAGAAACAGCTGAACACACAGAGGAGAAGATGAAAAATAAAATATACAATGTTCTTTTGTGATTTTATTTCATAAAAACAAAAAATAAAATGATTAAAAATCACAGTTTGATTTTGCTGTTTGGAGGAGAATCTGCTTTGAGGTAGCAGAGAGTCGGCGGTGACAGGTTGACTAAAGATGGAGAAAATTTACAGCAACAAGAAGTAAAGACACCCTCTGACTCTCCTTTCACCTCTCTGTGTCCTGATTGGTCCATCAGGTCGTCCACCATGACCCCTGCCGCGGGGGGGCGGGGCATTGGAACAGCCTGTACAGGTTCAAACACCTGGCGACAGGAAACTACCTGGCTGCCGAGGTAACCACCATGCTCCTGTTTCCGTCTTCTGTCTGCAGCTTGTCTGGATCAAATTTAATTCACTTTATTTTCGAAACAGATACTTTAATGGCAATAATGATGTTATGAATAAATTCAGCTGATAAAAATCAATATTTAATATTATTTTTCTTTGATTTGTAGAAAGATTTTGACACAATTAATTGTAATATTCTGCTAAAAAAAGATTACATTGCTGGGATTTAACTAGGTCAGTATTTTTCAATCTGTTAGAGGAGTCCCACAGGGGCGACCCAAGACTTTTGCACAGCAGCAGGTGTTTTACTCCTCAATGCTGCTGGATGGATAAACCTTTGGACATCACTGTTGTTGTTGCAGGAGAACCGGGGTACAAAGGGGACAACCCTGAGCTGTCATCCTCGGTGAGTTTCCTCTCCTCACCACTAGGGGGCGAAGGAGAGGGAAACAGACACGGTGAGGTTTGTGTTTCTGCAGATGGACGCCAGCCGCAGCAGCAAGCGTTTCCATGGCGAACGGATCAAGTACAAGCTGATGGTGGTTCCCCACGGCAACGACATCGCCTCGCTGTTCGAACTCGACCCGACGACCCTGCAGAAAACCGACTCCTTCGTCCCGCGGTGAGGAACTTCCTGCTGCCATTTCACAATAAAAGTCCAGACATGTTTCAAATTAAAGCTGAATTTATCCTTGTTGGAAAAAAAATTCAGCTTCACTTCAACTGTTTGTTTGAACAAATCTGATCTGAAGGCAAAAAGCACCAATTAACATCCCAGTTTCCCATCAGGTGATCATGCAGAACACATATGGAGGGCTATTCCTGACAACATTCTATGCAACAATAAATAAATGTGCCAAATATTAACAAATCAAGAATCTCCTCAGTTTACTCACTCTATATAATCTGTAAATAAAGTGACAAACAAGAATACATTAAATCAATGAATGATTAAAAAAGTGGTAACAAATTAAAGATCAGCTAAATAAGTACTGGACACGGGGAAACAATGTGGCAGTAAATGAAAATGATTAAATGAATTCAGAATATGAATAAAATTTGAAAAAAATAAATCACAAAATGAAAATGGAAATTAATAAAACTATAAGATTGAAAAATAAAATGAAAAATTAAAGTGATACTGTGAAATCAACACCGTTGAAAATTATACACTTTTTGGATAGACTATTTAGAATATTAGTTAATTATTTATTTCCATATGTATTGTCAGTTTTGGCAGAAAACCTTTATGTCCCAGTAAATGTGGGCAGTCAGCTCCACCACGTTCTGAGCGTAAAGCTAAATGTCTCCACCAAGTGGTCAGAGGTGTGAACTGCAATCTGTCAAAACAACATAAATGTGACAGATTATTCTGTCACATTTAAGATCCTATATAATCTACACGATAAAAAAAAACAAATTTTAAAACAGAAATGTCTTTTTAATAGAAAGTATTAATAATATCAGTTTAACAGTTACTTTCAAAAGACAAACAAACCCAATGAATCCTAATGAATATGACTGTAAAACTGTATGAGTTTATTATTTTACAACGTCAAAATGT